GAAATTTGAAATAAAAAAAAATTTGAAAATCAGTTAAGAAATTAAAAAAAAATTTTATTTAAAAATAAATAATTAAAAAATTTACCTAAAATGTTAAATTAATTAAAAAAATTTTAATAAAGAAATTTGAAAATTAATTTCAAATAATTTCTGTATATAAAAATTACAAAAAAGTTGACTTCAAGTGCAAAGCCACATTTGTTCCCAAAAACAACAACAATACATGCCTCATTGAAGCAGCCTAGGAGCTTGATTATCACAGCGGTTGTATATTGCAAGATTCGAAAAGCGGTATTTGTGTAAATGTTATGTATAAACGAGTCAGTAAAGCAACAACAACAAACAAATAATGTGCTAATATAGAGCAAAACACGGCTGAGCAGCCAAATTTTCTTAAAAGCCCTCAGTCGGAAGCTACTAAATAAAAGCCAATCGGTCTGTTAGCCATTAGGGCACAAGTAAAAAGAAGAAAAAAATTAAAATTTAAATTCAAAATGCGAAACACAAAAGAGACAATTTAGAAAAATTAAATATAAAAAAAAAATAATTTAAATTATAACCCAAAACAATTAATTAAAATGATAATTAAGAAACATTTTAAATAATTAAAAACTAAAATAAAACTAACAATATAAAAAATAAAATACCGTTACAAATTTTTAAAACTTAACAAATAAAAAAATTAAAAACACAAAAATAAATTTAAGACAAATTGGAAAAAGTTTCCAAAATTAAGCGAAAATTAAAAGTTAAAATAATTTTAAAAAAATTTAAAAATTAAAGTAATTAAAAAAAAATTAAAGCAATTAAAAAAATATTAAAATTCGCCAAAAAACACTTCTTAAAAATATTGTTTTTTAATTTTTTCCTACCACTACATTCAATAGTTCGCTGCGACTTGTCGAAATTATACGCGTCTGCATAATTTCGTTTAATGTCAGCAGTTGAATAACCAAATACGAATAAAAACCAAAATTCTAATTGACATTCGAAACACACACACACACATATATATAAAAGTTAATGCGAAGAAAATAAATTCTATTGGCAAACACAAAATTTCAATCGCTTAAATCGCTTGCTGCGTCAAGGCAAAGTGATAATTGAAGCAAAAATAAACCGTTTTATTTTTCTTAATTTTTATTAATTTGCCGTTATAATTTCTCAAAACAGCAATCACGAATCGCATAAGCAACACTTCAGCAAAAGAAACTGTTGAAAAAAGTGCTTAAAATCAGTGCACACTTAAACCTAAAAGGCAAACAGGCCATGCCGCGCGCAAAGCGCAACAAAAGTTTGTAATTTTTTATGCAACAACAAAGAAAACGCCAAGTTGCATGCAACATAAACGCGATAATTGCAATTTAATGCGCTGCAAAACAAATAAACTGTGAAAATAAAAGCAAAACAGTTGTAGTACAACCAAAAATAAATAAAAACAACAACAACAACAAATTGCAGGCGTAACAAGTGCCACAACTGTGTGACTCGCATGTATTTCAGAGCGCAACAGTCAGTGAATAAAGCAAATGTAATAACAACAACAACAACAGCAGCAATTGAGAATAAAAACACAGCAACATTGCCCTCAATAATTGACCATAAGTAAAACAACAACAATAATAGGGGAAATATTAATACAAACAAATCAGCTTGCAGTACTAACTAATAACGCTGGAGTTTGTTAGTAAAGCCAGCTAGCAGTGAAAGATACATATTTATGTGTGTAATATGCTATGTGCCTGAGCGAATGTGCATATTTCCGGCGACAAGTGTCACACAATTCGTGCTACAAACGTGCAACAAAAGCGAATGCTACATTAACAACAACAAAAAAAAATACTAAATTACCACAACAAAATATTTATTATAATACAATAATTTTAAAATTTTCAAAAAAAAAAAATTATTTTAAAACAAAAATTAAATTTCACAAAAAGTCACGCAAAGCTGATCACCGCAGCAGTATAGTATTACTACAATAGCAAAATTTTCAACTAACAATTTTTTGCTGAGAAACATCATTAGCAATCAATATGTATCTGATACAGGTGAGCTAGACACATACAGACACATACACCCATACAAACTCATACATTCCCCCCAAAAATTTGTAGAAATAAAATTTTGTTTAACTTTGCATTTATATAAGCAAATTATCAGCCACGCAATGTTTACAGATTTTATACCAACACAAGCATCTGTAATAACCCGCTGGCTTTCTTTCACACGTTTGCCGTGCCAAATTCACTGCTCGCCGTACTATTTCGATTTCGTGTTTATCTTTCATTTATGCAAGTGAATTATTTGCTAAACAAATTTCCTTTCGATTTATTTTTTTGTTTGTTTGGCTGTTCCGATAATAATTATGCATAGCCGAGTGTGTTCGGCTGCACGGTTCAACGGTTTTTGGCGCAGAGGGCAGTGGTTATCGTATTCGTAAAATTGAAATATATACAATTCCTAGTTATATAATGTTTGTAAAATATAATTTTAGTTGGATTAAGGCACTATTCGCCATAAGTTTCGAAGAACCCCGCAGTTGGGATTCGCACCCACCACTGTCCGAGTGGTGTTCAAGTAATTGATCGGCTCTTTATATCAAATATAATTTTTTGTAAAAAAAAAAAATAATCAATTACTTTGACATCTCTGATTTCCGTTCCTCTGTCTATATACCATATAATATAATAAATAACAATTATATGATGATGAATCAGAAAAATCGTATCATAAGTGCCCTTAGCATCCATATACTGAATTCAAAGTTCCGGTTGACTTTAAATCACATACAAGTATAATATATCGCTCAATATGTTAGATATCATAATGAAATTCAAATAGAATCTCTTTTTTAAAACAGTGTATCCTTGCGCCTAAAATGAATCAAATAAAGAGTGCAAACCAGCTGTTTGTTCTTCAATAATTTCGTTCTCAACAGTTAAATGCTTGATTTCTGACAAAAACAATTGTTTTTTTTAATGGTCACAACTGTTGGTACATAAAGCATGTCAAACCGGTGCAAACTTGAGTAACACGGAAATATATTTTACTATAAAAACAATATACTATTAACAGCAATTAATTTCTACCTTAGTATAAATTTACATATGTTCATACAAATAACTATGAAACTGTTATGCTACATCGAGCAATTGCTTATTCAACTGAAACATTAGTTGAAATACATTTGCGCATGCGCATACAACAATTGCAGGCAAGGAAATTTTATTATCAATATGTACTCGAATATGCATGTGTGTACAAGCTGGTATTGCATTTTCTATATAATAATCAGCTCATGAGTATATCAATATAATTGTTGGCATTGAGACAATAACGGTTGGGGCGACTGAGTTTGAAGTGCAACTGCTTATTAACGGGTTTTATGCAAAATAATATCCATATTATGAACGGATGTTGTTACATTAGTATGTATTCGTATACATACATACATACATATATAAATTTCCCTCTATTTTCGCTTTTAATATTTTTCCAACATTTTTTTTTTTTTATTTTCTCTTTTAATACTTTCTCAATAATTTTTTTTTTATTTTTGAACATTTTTTTTGCCTTTTACATTTTTTTTGTGTTTTACTTAAAAAAAAGTTTTTTTTAATTGTTTTAATTAATTAATTATTTAGATTTTATATTAACTTTAACCTTTTTATTTTCTTTAATTTTTCTTTTCAATCAATTTTTTTGATTAAATTTTTTTTATATATTTTTTAAATATATTTCTTATATATATTTTTTAAAATTTATTTTTTTAAATTTATTTTTTTAAATTTATTTTATTTTGTTTCTATAGATTTCTTAATTTTTGTTTCTAGTAATATAACCTTTAATGTGTTTGTTTTTATCATGCATTTTAGTGACATAAATAATCATAATATTTTGACAAAAAATTATTAATGAATACAAATTTTTGTGTCTGCATGCACACACATACACATATTCGTATGTTCGCATTATGTATGTGTGTCTATGGAAAAGTGTATTGCTTGTCCATTTCTTTACAGCGCTTCAACAGTGTTGACAGTGACAAGTGTTGCTCTTCGTGTCAATGACATTTAAAAATACCACAAAATCCTCAATAACTAAAAGTAGAATTTTATGTGAATTATTTACAACACTTTAAATTATACAATTTAAATTTTCCTCAATTTATCAGTGTCTTTAGCAGAATTTTTGTTTTCTTTTTATTCTGTAATGCCTTAAAAAATCCCCACAAGAAGCTTGGGTATTTACTTACATATTTTTGATTTCAACAGCGAAATGAGCACAATTTTGACGGCATTGAAAGAATGCGACCTTGAAATAAATTGTAAAGAAAGAAATGCTTGCAAAGAAAGGGTGTTAATTAGCACTTAAATTACGGTGACAAGGAAAACATGTGGGTCAAATAAATTGAGATATACTTACATACATATACCATACATAAGATAGTGAGAGCATTCGTTTTCAGAAAAATAATGATAAGGTAATTAGTATGAATTTTTGTATTATTAAGGAATATAGAATATTTTATTTGAAATAAAAAACGAAAAAAGAAATTAAAATGCCAATATTTTAGCATTATCACACTAGACAATAACTTCTTATGGATACATGGACGGGATAGGCTCTTAAGCCATTTTAAATACGGAAATTTAGTTTATCTATGTACCCTTTAAGACTGAAATGTGCCTCATGATAATAAGTCAAATCAAATTGTACGGAACAAAAATGTCAAACGCTTTGTTTATTGTGACAGCTCGTTTGACAGCTGTGTTTGTGCGAAAATGTAAAGATAAAGCCTTTAATCCCCAAAATAATATTATTTTATGTAGTTTTGTAACAATATATACGGGGGATATCTTGTATTCAGAACCATTTGAAGTAAATTGTTTTTGCAATTTTTTTTTTTGAAAATGAAGTTTACATATGTTAATTCGGTCTTATAGCCGCCTCAAAAGCCTCGCCTTAACACTCAGAAATAAAATTTCAAAATAGACTATACTGTAATTTAGACCTTTCAGTACTTCTTTAATCAGTTTTGGGAAGGTTTGCAACAATTATCTCTTCTACATATTCTTCTGGTGTTTATTTTTGAGTTTTCTACGCTGATTTGTTAACTCAATACTATATATATATTTTTTATTTTTTATCGATATTTAAGGGTAGATGACACTTTTGTACCACGAAGACGGACACAAGCAGTAATTTGTTGATATCTCGCTTTTGTTTTGAGTAATTTCATGCAAGTTTCACTTTTTTAGTAAATTGAGAGTCTAATTAATATTGGCGTGGCTGTGTACTGCCGATAGCATAAAGTAGACCAAGTAGAAGCACTGAGAGCTGTGTGGCTTTGGCGGCAAAAAAAGTCTGCAAAATTTCGGAAAAGACAATTCATGGTAATAATTTCTGATCAGCTGATATGTTATGACCCACCTTTCTTATATAGAGCGGCAATGTCTCCTTTCCCCGTCTTGTATGCCATTCGAAACCGCGATACAACCAAACAGTTGGCCAGGCCAGCGTAGCAGTCAGTAGGAAAGGCTTCGCAGACTCCATAGCCGCTTCAATATCCTGCCTGTGCATCAAACGGCGCACCTCCTCGCCCAAGTTGACTTCACGCGCCACTATGTTGTTGGGAAGATAATGTTTAACTTTCAATTTCTGAGTTTAAATTTTCAAATGAACCCACCATTCTCGCGGTAAGCCGGTTGGGAGCTCTTACTTTGGAAAAGGTTTTTTAATAGTGACATTTTGCTGGAAGCACGGTGTCTAAAAAATACTAGGTTTCGTAAAAAAAATGGCCTGGAACAGCAACTTCTGTTATATCAGATGTTCTTAGGGCTTTTAGTTCACTTTTTTTAAATTTTTTTTCACACACAACTCGGCGTTCTCAGTGCTCTCTCAAACTCAAATGTGTAGTTTCGCACGCGCAATTGTTACCATCATAATTTGAAAATGCAATTTTACAGTTTTACAAAGGCTTAAAGAAAATACAAAAAACTGTTTTTAAATTTTGTTACCGAAAAATGTATATATATTTTTAAGATTTTATTCAACAAATGTCAAAAGTGAGCTATCAAAAATGTAAAGCGTTAAAGCCATAACCACCTTAAATGCCGTAGTCTACAGTGGTTTTGCTCGCTCCAGTTTTTAAGTAAGAAAATAATTTTGATTGGTTGCATCTTCAATGCGACCTTTTCTGCAGAGTCTATAGTTTCAATCTCTCTTTCGGCCTTTGTACCAGAAGTCTTAAGTCGAATTCGTTAATATATATGCTACACTATTCGTTAAATCAATCAATAGCGGTGTTTTTGCCACGATAGTCTTCTTTGTTGAAGTCTTGCAGCATATTATTGACCTTAAGCAGTAGTGGACTCTCCTCGTACACTGCGAACATTAAACCCACACCGAGTATGGTGAATTGCATGAGTTTTGCGTGGTGAAAGGTCTGAAAGGGAGTAAGAGAAAATAGCTTATATAAAAATTTATCGTTAAACTCCACGCTCACTTACCCGATTGATGTAAGTGACCAGTGAGCGCTCCAGATGTGCGCGGTTACTCCAATCCATGCCTCTATAAATCCAATAGGCGGGCCACGCTATAAAACTAGCGAATATAAATGGACGTGCACGCGCCATTTTCGTCTCGAAATCCAATGGCGCATTGTTTTGCAGAAAGTCGCGAAACTCCGATGCGTATGATATGGGTTCGGGTTCTGCAAGTGAACAACAACCACACGTACCGATATCTTCCTCGTTAAGCAGTTCTGTGGCAACAAGCAAGATATGTATGTACTAATGAGCATTGCATTTATGATATGAAAATATTAAGCTTTGGACAAAAACAAAAACCCAAAAGTTGATCCAATAACCAGCTTTTAGCTTCAACATAAAACTAAAGAGTTCAGTTATTTTAAAAATATATCTCTTATTTTCTTTCAAGCACAAGTTATAGCGCCCTGCAGTTTGACAGTTCTTCATGTTGCCACAGTTAAGTTTTGAAATTTCAAAAACAATAAACGCTTTGCCTACCTTTGGGCGTAGAGCTGCTGAGGAATGGTATCTTCATGTTGTTTGCAAACAATAATTTTTAATAATGACACAGTTAATTTAATAATTAATGGCACTTCGTTTTGTGTTTAGATCCACTGTTTGTTTTCCTCAAGTCTCAAGCACACCTATTTGCGCAAACTCATAACACGAATATTTTGTAAACAAATTTTGTAAATTTTGCACAATTCAGAATTGTTTGTAAGCCAAGTTTTTTTTACTATTATTTGATTATAAATTTTTCATTTTTCAAATTAGAAATTTGTGAAATTTTAAATCAAAAGTTTCTACGATTCTGTAACCCCTTGGCAGAGGTTTGAAGTGTTGAAAATTTTCTTTAAACGCGAAAACGTGTTAGAATTTTTAAACCGAAATATTTGAGTTTATTGATGGTTTCTTTAAATTTCAATTTCCGTAGTGCTGTTCTCATAATAGAGGTTTGAAGTGTTAAAAGTTGTCTTAAGATTTATAGAAGTGGTAAGACCTTTTAGGACTGAATTAGTTTGATCTTTTCAAAGTTTCGCATACAAAATTTGCATGGAGTGCGAAGAGAAATCTTCCTCAATAATGCATACCAAATCAGATATTCTAAGTTATCTGGCGCTAGCTCTGTTCCACAAATCGAGGCCTACAAAAAATGGCTCTCATATACAAAAGAGTAATTTTTTGATGATGAGCTATCAGGCCGAAATGATGACCGTTGCGTATCAATCTTGTTAAAAATTTAAAATTCTGTATTTGTTACTAGCCATCATTTTTCTAATCACGAAACGTCGTCGTCGGGATCTTTCGGGATTACATAACTACATATGTTATCCAGAAAAAAATAGCAAATGTAAAATATTTCTATAGAAATTTTCAATCTCGGAAGCAAATGTTTTCTAATCCCGGGACATCGATTTCGGGGTCCCGAATATTTTCAGGATATTTCGAGATGTAATAATTATTAAAAGTAAAACAAAAAACACGCAACGCAAATTAGAAAATACTTCCATAGACATTTATTTTTATTTTGATCCCGAAATATCGATGTCGGGACCCTAAAAATTTTTTGATTATTTCGGAATTTAACAATTAATAAAGGTAAAAAACACATACTATAACGTAATTAGCAACTACTTCCGTTGAAATTTCCAAACTCGGAAGTAAAGAACATACAATGTTGCTCATCGCACATATAGACGAGTCGTGATAATGGTGTCTTTTGTAGGCATGTATGCAAGTCCAAGTTATGACTTTTTTTCGCAAAGGAGAAATTACCTTCGGTGACATTTCTTAGCACGGTACAAGCTTTTTTTTTTTATTTTCATACATAAATATTTATGTGCACATAGTGTTTCTATTATAGGCGCATGTGCAACTATTTAGGTTAATTTGATTTGCATACACATACATACACACACACACATATCTTACAATTGTTAGTTTTAATTATTTACTTGAAGTTTTTCAAGCTGTTGTTGACATCAATTTTTGTAGTTAATTTTTTACTTTTGTTTTGAGGTGTCATTGCATTGTCTTTCACTTAATTGCTTTTAGGCCTTTTTTGCGTGCGCCTTCGTAGCTAATTTTATCATTAGCCAACTTAGACTTATCAGAGTCACGGTGCGTAGCAGTAAATTAGTATTTACATATATATATATACCCGCATAACAAAGTACTTGCACGCACTAAAAAGTAAGTACTTCTTTACCTGGGCACCCAGATTTTGTACAACCTTTGTTTTGTTGTCATTTGCCTAAGCGTGCAACGGTATTTGAGTGACATGTCGGATACTTTTTACATTTTAATGCGTCAATTTCTAATTGAGAAGCGTGATTGACTTGTTTAGGCACTCGTAAAGTAGAAGAAATCTCAAAAAATATATAAAAAATTAAGTGAACAGCTGTTTTGCATTTATTATCTGAGCGTCGTGTGTAATTCGTCTTTATCCCAATGTCTTCTACGATTTTTGCTTGCTGTCCAATTCAATATTGTCTATTTTCGAACCCGTAATGTGTTTTCTATCGATCTGTATAATATGTGCTGTCTATTTCAATTTATATATAGTATAAATGTACATTATATATACTACGTATATTTGCGCGTTTGCCAAATGAGCCAGTAGTTAAATCCACTCAAATGTACTTCTAAAAAAATTAAGAAAATCAGCACCGATTTGTAGTACTTGGCACTTGTGGGTGACGCAGTTCATTGACTGGGTTCGACGAAATTACCAACACACAAGTTGACTTTTTCTTTGTTGAAAATTGATAATTTTTCTACGGCATAAAGGATAATAAATTAAGAACTGCATTAAACAATCTTTTTGTATTTACTTTTTATATGTTATTTTTTGCTATATTTGCTATAACTTTCTTTTTTTTGTGTGTATTTTAAACCTAAAAATTTAATCACTTAAAATTCCTATAAAAGAGATCAGTATTAGAATCGGTCAATATAACTATCTGTATGAGTTTGAAATAAATCAAATATACGAAATATCTAAAATCAACATAAATTTACCAAGTTTTTCCCTTAAAACTCTACCAGTACTTCTTGAACACATATCACTTAGGAAATATCAACTTTCGATTATGCCTTCGCAGGTATAAAAAGGTGATTGCCACAGTTAATCGAGAGTGCCAAGTAATTATTTTTTTATCTTTGATTTTATGCTTTCTCAAAACTTCAAATTCGATGTGAAACTCTGGAAAGCTTATTTCATAATTTTCATTGATTTCTCTGAAACAAAGGACTGGATTACAAATCATGTTACCAGATGACTAACTCAAATATGGTGCAATATTTAACACCACTAGCTTTCCTTATACCTTAGTATTATATTAACTATATTATGGGTAAAAGAAGATGACTGTTCCAGATATTAGTATAGCTGAGTTTATTTTATAATTTTAAGTTAGTTAGTATAGTCTCATAGATTTTTTTGTTGGGAAACATACATTTCGAGTAAGCTTTCTTATAGAAAAAAGGCTAATGTTTGCAAGTAGGACCAAAGTTTCCATGAGAATAATCACTACATTCTTTCTACAAACTGCAATACGACTATGTCACTAGAATAGCAGCTCTTTTTTTATTGCCATCGTAACGAAAGAACAGAACAAGCGGTCAAAGCTAAGTGAAGCGTTTGCTTTCCGGATATAATGTCGAACTAAGTCGATGATAACAGCTAAAACACTCACAATTAGACAGTTATAACAATGTTTCTGTTGTTGCTGACAACTGTTTGAAATACTCCTTCTAGACTTTCAGACATCGCTTTAATTTAGTCAATTACTTAAAGTTTTGGGGCTTTTATTATTATTCACTCAATAATTCCGATAATCAATAAACCACTTATACCACGCAACATATTTCAACCTTCATCACTTAGTATATTTAAAGAGCTGCAAGTTAGCTCCCCAGTTATAGTCAATGAGGGCTTAAGAATAATGCCGGTACTCAATTTTATCTAGACTAATAACAGTAAATGTACACAATAGAAAAAAAAAACTCATAAAAAATTTTTTTGTATGTAGTAATTTGTAAGATTTTCTCAACCAAACACACTTTTAATATTATCAACAAATTCAAAAGTATTGTAATATCGTCCACAAAACGGTTATTACTAATTGAATGAGCGGATATTTCGGTATTAGCCCAAAGATATGAGTAAACGACCTATACTTACAACACAAAATGCACTAAGAATATTACTTGACCTCATTCTAGCTTCCAGCGCAAGAATTCGAATTATTCAAAAAGAAAAGACTGATCAGTAATAATCACATGGTCAAATTGTTAAGTTCTATTAAAAGAGAAAAGTTGTTTACATAGCGGCTTATTAGCTTAAATGATGTTACGTCTCAAATGTCTCAGACATCTCAGCAATCCACTGTGTCTAAATTAGAGTGTTGCGGTAACAGAATAGCCACCAGCCATAAGCAAGTGTTGCTTCTTATTCCAACTCATTAGCATATGGTCAAAAGCCGCAAGCGAGAGTTAAAGTGAAGATGGGAGAAAAACGTGTATATCAGCAGGGGTCCGTGGAGATTTCGAAAAAAGTTAGGTGTGTTCAATAAGAATCTTGCGGACAAAAACCGTTGAAACTTGTTTTTTGTTTTCATGCATTTGTTGTTTTATTGCAGCAAGTCTAAGCCGGTAAAGCTAGTAAACAATGAAATTAGTAGGGTTACATCAATGACATGAAAGATATATATATTTTTCTAGTTCGGCGATATCAGCTGCCACAAAAATATAAATTTAAGAATTATAAGAATTACAAAATTAACATAAGAAATGATATTGATAAAAAGTGGGCAGAGTTGCAGCGGCAATCAAACATAAAAGCTTTAAGTAAAGAATGTGAACCAAAAAAATAAAGTAGAATGAGAAAAAATATCTATTTTATATGACACTAAGCCTCTTCTTCCAGACCAAAGCATTGTCGCTTGACTTAATGCAGTAATTTATAACGTAATGTGAGTTTGTTGATAAGCTTTGAGAAAAACTTGTTCAGGCAAGCTTACGAGTAGAAAAAGCTTTATAAAATTATCTAAACTAATTTTTAATTTTCAGTAAGAAGAAACATTCTACAATGTTGTAACAAACAACCATTGATAGCACATTTTGTCCGCCTTTTTGTTGTTACATTATTTATACACCTACCAAAGTATTACATGGTCGTAAAAAGAGCGTTCTTTACATGCTTTTATGGCTTTCGTAAATATTTCTACACTTGTAGACACTATGTTATCTGTCAGTTCGTTGTCTATTTCAACTATTTTATGTAATTTTCTGGTATATCCAATGAACTTGTCAGCAATAAATTTATGTGCAATACATTGATAAAACATTGATTTGAGCTTAGACGGTATGCGCTGAGCTTCGTTTTAGAATACCAAATTCTGGCATATTTGCTATTAAAGAGTGAATATTTTGTGTTTTTGTTGCACGTGTCTAATGCAGTAATATTTATAAATATTTATTTCATGTTTTTTTAATAGTAGTAATTACTTTTTGAGTTTTGGATGTGATGTGAGCTCTATATGTACGAGTATATATAGAAAATAATTTTTTGAACATTTGTTCAAATAAATAGGCGTGTGATAACCAGGTATTGAGATTATAAAATAAAATCGCATAATCTGAAAAGATTTTTAAATATTATACATGAAGTTCAATAACCTAAACTTTCGATAACACTATCACTAAAGTTTTTTTTTTTTTTTTGAAGAAAGCGAAGAATTAATTTTTACTAAAAATTTTCGTACAGTATTGCTTTTGAATGTATATAATGCTCCTTAAATATTGTTAGAGATATTATGGGGATATAGCCCCATGAATTTCAAATAATCGATTTTTGGCTTATATATTGAATGTACATATATTTGAAAACGTTCTCCGAAAATTTGAAGTTGATCCGGCAAAAAGTCTCAAAGATATGAGTGTAGTCAGTGTAGTAAGAGTAAGTAAGTAAGTACACATTTTTTCACAATAAAAAAAATTTTTTTTTTGTTTTTGGAAAGCCGACGTTTTGTGAAAAATTAAAATTTTGACTACGATCATTATATAAATTGATGTATAGTAATAATAAATTTTTAA